CCAAGAGTCAAATGCACGAGGGCTGATAATGCAACTGATATGAAAAATGTCATGTTGTTATCTTTTTCAGTATCACATACTTCAACTTTAAAAAATGTCTTTGTATAGAAATGTTTTGTTTTAAAATTATCAATATCAACTACGCAATTTGTACTGCAACACAAACGCATAAGCAGTTGAATATATTTTATCATATTTAAGTAATATTTGACCGTAAAATTCTCAAACTTTCTTATTTTTCTGGAGATTTTACACTGATGTTTTTGAACTCACAAACTGAATCGAAACAAATAAGAGACCTTCAAGGTAAACTTGCAGCACTTTGATAGAGCATACCAAACGGTTTTAAACTATGTACAAAATGCGTTTATTGTACTATTTGTTTTGCATTTTTCATAATATATATTTCCTGTCTCCTAATATTTGTCTTTCACCCTACTTTTTTGCCTGTTTCGTTGAAAACTAACCATTGCGGCATATTTTCTGGAATTTGCCGAGTGACGACGAATTGTCATGCGATAACGGTTACGAAAAGGCATGCGATAATAACCGGAGAGAGTTAATATATTTTTTTTTATGTTAGCCCACTTAGCACCATTTCGGATAATATGGAATTTACGTTAATGTAAAGCTATTATCCTACTGTAACCATAATTAGTTTCTTATGGCTAAGTATATGATAAATACATTTGTACGTATTTACTCTCTAAGCCAGGCATTTCGCGGACATATTTCATTTATTTGGAGCTTTCAATGTATAAATTCTATAAAGTTAGTGCGAATCGAATTTGACGCTTATTACCGAGCAGAGTAACTGTTCGATTTAACTTTGCATTGTGCATGCCCAGTTTCGTAAATCATATTCATGACCGCTTTCTCGCGTACACCAAGTTTATTAAATCGAAGTCGACCTAAGTGTTGCCCTTTATAATTCCCACTGAAACTTTTTAAGTCCGTTTCACAAAAGTTTTCAAATTATATAGCAATACTATGTGATATGAAGATTCGTTGTAAGGAGTATAGAGATAAAGCAAAAGATAAAGATATCTTTATTCCAATTAAAAGACCCATGATAAGCAAAGTAATATATTACAATATTTTTTATAATTGAGAGACAAAAATAATTTTGACAATCATATATAAATAAATATAATCACCTTATTTTACGATCTTAAGCTATAGTCATGCCAAAGCCATAAGTATATGTGTTAAAAGAATTAGTGAAATAGATTATATAAAATAGCAAGGCAATGTTTTGATTTGGTTACATATTAACATATCTATACTATATTGAGTTTTCTGAGTTCAAAACATTTATAAACAGAAGTTCCAATAATAAACAGTATGTGAGTGTGTGAATAAGTTAAACCGAAACAATAAAAAATCTGCCGGATTATCCAAATAACGAAATTTATAGATTATAATAATGAAGTCATAACGTTTAAATTGCGTAACGCGAATGCTAATCTTCAGTGGTCAGATTATTATTTTTTTTTTATTAGAATTTTTTCCTAACGCTACATTAACGTTCAACGTTATAATGAATATGCATGTGTTGAGGGGGCGTCAATTGAACTTGTCCTTGTTTTCACACTCCCTTTTCGAGGTTAAGTGTTTGAATAACATCATTTTAAAAAACTTTATAACATAATCAACTTCATTTGACTGAGTGAATTTTTGTTTGTTTAACGTGCACAACCATATCATAATTATGGTTTTTCGTAGTTAAGAGTAACAATAAGCATAACGTATGTGTAATACTTTGAAATGATATTAGAAGGTGAACTGCGCAAGTGTGGTTCTGAGAACAGTTTATGAATAAAGCAGGGTTCTACGACAACATAGAATACATTGAGACGGTTGTCGACTTGAAGTCCATGAATGTCTCACTACAAATTTCTTTATTTTATTATATTGAATTTCAAATCTGGCTAAGTTGGTTCGATGGTCGTTTGTTTGCAGTGACAAATTATTATAAGATCAATCTACATTATTAATGCTTTTTGGGGCGTTGTTCATATCTTATTTCAAATGAATTTTACTTTCTTTTTTTTTAAATCAAAATCTTGCGTAATACATGACCGATTGCAGTGGCGGATCCATGGGGGGGGGGGTCCGGGGTTTGAACCCCCTTTTTTGACGATCAATGCTTTTGAATGGGGACATATGGTTGAACCCCCCCCTTTTATCCTGGATTGGAACCCCCCCCCCCCCCCCCCCCCTTTAAAAATGGCTGGATCCGCCCCTGGATTGATTGGATTCAATTAACAAGTCGTCTATAGTAAACTCTGTACTTTTACAGTTTATAAAACTGTTGCACAATAGACCCTAATAACGGGGAAGGTTATGCGATAGAAAAAATGTTTAACCCCACTTCATTCTTTATGTGCCTGTCCAAAATGTAATATTTGATTTTGGTTCATAGTTTTAGCATTCATCAGTTATCTGGTTTAATCTTTTGACTTGGTTCACATCTTATCATGCATCGATGAGTGCGATGCATTATCACTGCAAGTGCGATCATTTCTGATGCGAGATTTTTGGATGTGCAATGAATTTTCATTGTGGTTTTATGTGTTAATTGGACATGCAAAAACGGACAATATTCATTTGGTGGCTTTATTATTGATGATATTTACAATTTAAAAATCCAAACTTATCGTTCGTGCTTTATACTTCAATATACACGGGGTATAATTGATTCCGGACGTTGTGCGTTCTTAAGCGATAAACAACAACAAGCTGAGAAATTAAAGATATGCTGAGTTAAGTACACAATTTGTATACAAAAATGTATTGTTCACGTTGTATGCATGTTAAGTCACCAATATAAATTATAAAATTTCAATTTTAACTCGCACTGTACTTACTGAATGATAAACGAACGTATGTTTACATACTTACTGTTACGGCCATGAGTCTTTGAAGAAAAATATTTGGACGTTATATCTACCAACTTCGCTTCGATACGCAGCAACGTCTGGAATCAACTGTACGGTTTTATCAGTGATATAGAACCGTTAAAACAATTTGTAACACAATAAACTGATCTCGTTATGACATCGTAATTCTAAAATTACGTATTTGCCTATTTGTAACAAAAATATGCAAGGCATACAAACATATATTAATGTACTGTGTAAGATGTATGCACTATTTTAAAAAAGATTCATGCGACAAATAAATTATCCAAAGTCATTCAAGCGTGAAATATAAGTGAAGTTGTGAGAGTGAGCTTTTTATTTATCCTGCAATCGACCTTTTAACTATACTAATACAGGTGTACAGATAACACGAAGCGATATACGTATACTAGACGCATATAGTCTCCTGGTATCCTGCTTCTATTGCGAGCGAACGGTTATGTCAAATTACTGTTTACGTCACAGTTCAATTTTGGGTCCTCATGGAATATTTACATGTAAACCATTTCGTACCTCATGGAAATTTTATATGTATACCATTTCGTACCTCATGGGAGTTTATATGTATGCCATTTCGTACCTCATGGAAGATTTATATGTATGCCATTTTGTACCTCATGGAAGATTTATATGTATGCCATTTTGTACCTCATGGAAGATTTATATGTATGCCATTTTGTACCGCATGGAAGATTTATATGTTTCTGATTTCTTGGTAAAAACTGTCTCATTGATGTGAGCCATTTCGTACCTTATGGAAGATTTATATGTATACCGTTTCGTACCTCATGGAAGATTTGTACGTATATCATTTCGTACCTCGTGGAAGATTCATTTACATGCACAAGAAATGCCTAAAATTTAAAATTAAAGCACCTATGAGATATTATATAAGCTTAATTGTGTCCCTTTTCACAGCATTTCCTGACAGAAACGGCTGGATGAATTTTGTTTATGTTACACTTAAAAAAAATAAAATCATCTCAAAATGTTTTATATCTTGAAAAAATGATAACTTTTACAAATATATGATACGAAATGGTAAACATGTATTTAGTCCATGAGGTACGAAATGGTAGATGCATTCAGTGGCCCATAGCGTACCAAATGTTTTTTTTTTCGTGGGTACGAAATGGTAAATGTTGGGTACGAAATAGTAATTTTGGGTACGAAATGGCAGAGGTACGAACTGCTCAAGGTACGAAATGACTTGCTACCCTTGATGTATAGCACCTTGTAAATATAAATCCAAAATGAAAACGTTACAGTCGCTCAAGCGTAAATGAGGGTCGTTATGTGAACGCTCTTTATTATTCAATATGCATCCATTAATGACGTTTCATTAGTATTTGATGTATACATAGTACCCTAGATATAGACTGAAACCGAAAACTTAAGCAGATTTTTCGATGGCCGTTGCTGTGCCTTACTTTCCACGGCGTATGTATTCAATAATGAAATGTCATTGGAATGAATACATTTTACCCTACATGTATCTTGGCGAATTATTTGAAAAATAAAATTGAATATTTTAGCAATATAAAATACGATTTTTACGGAATTCATTTTTGTAATTCGGTAGATTTTCACTCTCAAAGTAAACATTATCAAATCCTTTTGTCTTTCATTGGTTTGTGAGCGAGTCGCCTAAAAAGACTAGTTGATGAAACTATATAAGATTCCTACTGTGAAAATGCACCGCATATACAATAGAAATTACCCGCCCTTGCAGTGAAAATGAAAGTATTGTATCATTATTCGACAGTTAACATGAATCGCATAACGAAAGCAGCATGATGGAATTTAACTCAATATCAACAAACTGAATAATAAAATCTGTGTTAAGTTACATAAAATTAATGATTATGTTAAAATGTTTATTTTCTGAAAATAAAACTTTACTGCTGCTTTTAAATCTCCTGCACGCTCTGTTCGTGAAATATTCTTAATATTTACCTTTTTGTGTACCTGGATGGCTGTAGGCGCGAAATAAACCCGTCTGCATCTCTTACCTGTATTATGAATTTATTAAAACAATACAGTTGATATATTATTTCTTATTCTATTCAAAAATCATTAAAATTTTTGTTTATTTATTTAGCATTCTAAATCAGAAATACATGACAGATACAGTAAAAATCGTAGTTCAGTATTCGTACTTTGTAAACACTGCGTTTAGTAAAATCTCGTTTGAATGACGTCACCGCTCAAACCAATACCATAGGTGACGTCCATGTGTTGATAAACACATTTTTAATGTGTTTTTACATTCCTGTTCCGCTGGTTGCCATCTAGTTAGAAAAAAATATTTAGATTTGATTAATAAAGTCGTACAGTTAAATATAATACTGTCCCGGAAAAATCGGTCATGCAAAAATATGACTAATAATAAAGCTACATTTTTCAATTCACCTTAAAGCTGATCTATACACCCTCATTCAATAGTACAAAAGTATTCAAAATCAATGGCTAAATACAATCTTTGCCAATTCCACATTTAGTTTAAATTATATATAGTTTTTAAATAAGAAGTAGGAAATTAAAACAGAGAAATGAGCTCATAAAATAACTAATAGGTAGTTCCTTATAAAAAGAAAGGTTAGATGATCAGCTATCATGCATTTATAAAAACAAGACATTTTCAATCAGGTTCCGGCGTACAGGGAAGGAGAGGTTTACTTGGAAAAATAGAGGTCCGGACAACGATTTGTCGATTTTTAGTGATTCTCAATCTAGATAAAAGTTTCAAAGAAATGGGGATTCAAAACACTTTTTGACCTATTCCCTCATATAATAGGGTCTTAATGCGAGAGGGGGTCTTTATTTTTGTAATCATTATCATTTTCGCCATTTTCTTTATATCTTTTAGCATCCCATTATTCTCTATTCTTTAATTTTTTGCTCATTTTTTTTTTCTCAATTTTTTATTTTTTTTACCAATTATTCTCATTACTTCAAACTCCTTTAAGACCCACTTACAACTTTTAAAAGTATAACAGATATGTTCAGTTTATAAGTCCAGACAAAATTATATCAGACATAAATGGTTTTATATTTAACTTTTTGTCTAAAGCTTTTCAATATTTCAAAAATGATTACTGGAACGTTAAGGAACAAATTAATTGCATAGTGTTTGCTCATACATGTGTATCTGCATTAAAAAAGAAGGATTTTGGTGCTTCAGTTTCGTCAGTAGTATAATTAATCACTCTTCTAAAGATCGTTGGAGAAATAGCAAATAAGCAACAAATTGTTTTGTATGGTATGATATTTTGATAACCATCTAGCCCTTTTACTAAATGGAACTGAAACGATATGTAGCTTAAAAGTTAGTGAGTAATCTCAAGCAGATTTATCCGACTAACAATACATCGCATTCTTTTTTTTATGTTACCACTGTTAATTTTATCGTATTTTAACACTGGAAGGACAGTCTTAAACCCATACACTTGATATTGATCGAATCATTTTTAGGTGATTTTGGGTGATTATCATAAAAGGAAACTATTTGATCAATTTCAATATGGAAAGGGTTAAAATGTGCTACATAACGTTACATTATATGACACTATATCAAATTTATATCACAAATTGAATACGCCGATAATATACAATTAATTCATATGACTCACGGCAATTTCATAAGGCATTATATATATATATATATATATATATATGATAACCATTCCTGAAAGGCTGCAGTCCTTTTGTGAAATTTGTTATTCTTAAGATATATCAATTTTATTTTCCAAGGAAATGAAGTGCGCCAAATACGGAATTGATTTTCGCTCAATACTGTTAGCATGTTTATCAAAAGATCTATATTTACCAGTTATATATTTCACTCCTAAGTGAATTATGGTACCTTGAAGGAACAAATGAGTCTATTGTTGCTTAACACTTGACATAGGCAAAATCTCTTTGTTCTTACTGCGCTATAATCTGGATTTTTTGTACATGTAAATACTAAATAAATGTCTTCAAGTCAAACTAGATAATTATTTATTGACATTTCTGAAAATAAATATAAGTTTAAGATTAGTTTTGTGCTCATTGGTATTTATAACAACTATTTAAATATTTAGTCTTGTTTTATAGTGACCACTCTAGTGCGATTTTATTGAGGATCATATTTTAATTATGTGCCTAAACAGGAAAAATTAATAAGATGCAGATCAATATACTTCGTTTAGATGAGGCTTATCTTCAAGATTGAATACACATAAAAAAAATTAAAAAAAATAGGGGAGTTCAAAAATGTAAATTATTACATTTTTTGTTTATTCTTATTTTTCCAAAAAAAATTGGCACATCTCTCTCAATTAATCTCCACCTCAAGACATTCTTTTGTAAAGAAAGAAACGCAATTGATCTCTCTAAGTTATAATTTGTTATCAAGTGTTTGATTTTAAAGTACATCAAACGGATCTAAAACTTTATGAATGATTGTAGATGTTGGGTACATTCGTTAATGATACAGCAATCCAACGACAAATATAACAAAATGATATATATAGAGGTCAACACACAGTTCTCAACAATATACAGGTGTCTATACAATATGTTGTTCGGGTCTAGTAGGGTCAAATACACTTTTTTTTTAGAACACTGCTTGATTATTCAATAACTATAACAAAACGAAGAGCGGGATAATAGGTATCGTATTTCTGATTTAATCTGATACAAATGTAACATACGGAGTACAGCCGTAAGATGCAGATATATTTCAGAAAAGAATAAAACAAAATCTTGTCATTGAAAAAAATCAAGAAGCATGAAAATAAAACAAAGATGTAGAGACCATGTGTGTGTCAAGCTGGCCAATGACGTTATGTGTATCTATAAATATGTCCTCTTATTAAATTGTTTATATGACGATCTTAGTAAAATATTTTTCTGACATTTTTACAGAATGTCAGAAAATGGTATTTTTATTTTTGAATCAATATATATATATATTGTTAGATTTTGTGGCAAAACCTGTAAGTTTATTCTAAAAAGCCGTGGAGAAGTTTTATATTGTAAATGATATCCCGATTAGGTTGTGTTCATCTCTACTCTATAATGTATTACATGTATGTGTTAGTTACCGTCTCATTTTGTAATGTGCTATTCAACATTTTTAATGCGCATCTGGTGCAGTAAAATTGGTACTGTAAATGTTATTACTACCATTTGGTCGATACCTCTGCTGGTCGACTGTTAGTCCCCAAAGGTATCACCCAAGTATCTTCGGTACTGGCAGGAAAATGCGGATATGTAGCGTTTGATTGAAATTTGCTCTACTAAGACTTATATAACTTACAAATCATTTTCATTTAAGAAATACATCTCCCTCATGCAAAGCTTAGATTCCTTTTCCGAATTAGGTCATCGCTGGTTTCATCAGCTCTTCGACGTTTGTATCGTATCATATTTTTGATTTTCAAATATTTGGATACCGAGCATCATTGAAGAGACATAAATTCTCGAAATGCGCATTTGGTGCAGTAAAATTGGTACCGTTAATGTTATTAAATGAAATTACTTCGCCAATGGTAACTGTCGGATAAGTTTACAACACACATGATAAAATGGCGCAAATAATACTGGGTAGTTTAAATACGAGTGTCGCAAAATTATAACTGGCGCAAATGAGTTGTAGCACAAAATTATACATTTTAGGCGCAAACGGATATCTCCCTTCTGAACAAACATTTTCATGTCGTAACTTACATCAATGACCAAACTACACACTGAAGTTATCAATTCTAGGCAACACGACATGCGTCGCAACTTCCAAATGTTTATATTGTGACAGATATTTGATAAACATTTTGGTCAAAGTACATTTTGAATTATTTTTAACGGTGGGAATAAATATGTAATAACTTAAGGATGTAGTTAGGTGAAATAAGAAAAATCTACAATTTAAAATTGATACTATAAGTCAGAAGAGCATAAGCTAAGGAACGAAATCAGCTAACAATATTGATAGGTTATGGAACTCCTTTTTGAGATATTTGATTTTTTTCTTTAATGGCGGGAAAAGGCTGACCCTGACTTTTACCTTATATTTAGCATTGGCATTATCTGGGTCTCAAATCGTAAGAACAAAATCTAGAATCTGCTTAAACTTTGGTAATGACCTTTTTATGAGCTATTGAAGTCTTCAATGAAAAGAAATGTGGGTGATATGGGGCAAAATATTTTACCCTGTATCGTAGGAAAAAACCCAAGGAGTCCGAACATCTGACAAAAATTCATAAATCTGACCAGATTACATCCTTGAGAACTATATATATTAAGGAAAAAAAATAAAAGTCGAGAGATTGTCAAAGTGACCTCTGCTATTTCGAAAGCGGGATTTAACAAATAGACCTTGGGGTCAATATTTACATAATTAGAATATATCATATTTGTTTATATTTCAAGCTGTTTATTGTTTAATATTCTGGAGAAAAAATAGGAAATGAAGTATCATACGAACTCTGTAAATTACCATATTTGGGAATATCTTATATTACGCTGAGTAAGAAAGTTAAGTTGCTCAAACAAATTACAGATGCTATATAAACTCAAGTACGGACTTGCCAATATATAGGTGTCAGTACGATCCCGGTCTGCCTCTACATTGGCAGCAATGTTGCATACCATATCCGGCGTTGAAAGCAGCTAGTTTCCCCCCACAATATAAATTTCTAATGTCTGCTCTCGACAAAAGACTGGCTCTTTATTACATTAATGTCTTACACTTTTATCACAATAATTGGTAGAGGGCCAGTGCAGAACTTTCGATTTTGGTGAGAGTTTGTTTTTTTTCCATAGCTTTAAATTTCAGTGGTTGTATTCATTTACAAGTATTCTTGTTTGTCTGTACATCTCTCTTGTTTCTATCGATTTATCCCGCGGATCCAATACCGACCAAAAGCGATTTTTTATTCAATATACTGTATACCTTTCAACAATTCTCCGTTGATACATTTGGAAATTTTTAAGAAACTAAGCTCCCAAAGTATTCAAATATTCATATATCCTTTGTTTTCATTTTTTGTTGGTTTCATCGTTCGTGATGAAGGTAAATCCAGAGGAGCGCATCGGACGCACATAATTTTTAAAATGTCTTTGGACTTCAAATCTTATTGAGGTAGGTTCAATCAGTGCTTATTTCTGTCAAAGATATTAACGTGCAGTTATCTTTCAATAAGTCAACTGAAAAAGACACATTTTAGTATTTTACTCTTGCATTAAATAGTTTTGCAGTAGTAATCAAAACAAATAAATGTCATGTGTTCTTTTGCAAAACAATGATTAACTCGGTGAATAAGAACCACGCGGTGTCTATTGAATCATATCACGATCGAATTTAAAAATATGTCGTTTAAAACGTAACTAGGTAAATATTACCTTGACGTATATTCTGTCTAAAAAATAGGATTGAATCGACCCAGTCTTTTTCTAATTTTAGCCATTTAAAATGACAAGATATGCCTACCAGTATATATAGTTAAACCCGCCTTCTTCACATTTCATTCTGCTATGTGACCTGTTTAACTGAAGGTAAGAAATTGTAATAATCCACAAACTGACATGCAGTTGATCAACCCCGTATGTTCAATTTAATAAAATAGAATTAATATGATTGAATTTTGATGAATTTTGATTAGAATATTTTTAAGAAATATCAACAGGAAATTAATGCAACATTAACGGGATTTTGATTAAGTTTTATTGTCGTTTTGGTTCTCAGTTCCTTTTTGTTGATGTCACGCAGAGGAAAGGTCTAATTCCACCAAATCCTGGTTGAAGCAAAAAATATAGAAAACAACATGTTTTCTGACCTGTTTAAAGTAATGTCTATTCGAGTTATGGTATGTCTTCTCCTATTTGTACTCAAATGGTTTAATTGGTTTGTTGATTGATCGACTGTTTGTTAATTCTGCTTAAGCATGTTGTTATTCCACCAGGCACGATCGTATGTAAGCTGACACTCTTCAACAGCTACGACACGACCGTCTTTATTATATATTTTTTTAAGTCTTTTTCGACAAATTTGATGCGAGTCTTTAAAAACGTAACAAGCTATTCCCCGAATGATATAAATATCTGTACAATTAATGTTTTAAATTTATACAATTGTCATTTTCAGTTGAACCAAATGTTATAACTCCCTATCTAATTCATTGGAAAGCGCTCGCCAATATAAAAAAAAAGATGTAAGACAAAAGACAACTCAAACTAACGAGTTCTGTGTTCTACTTGTTTCATGAACATTGTTATAATACATGTATATCATGGTAACAATTTTAACGTGCGACAATATTTTTTAAATACTTTTGCTCGAGACAAGTAACTTTTGATTGCAAAATAGTTATCTTAAATTTGTAAATTTTGTTAAAAAGCAGTGTTTAAGAAGAAATAAACATATTCTAGTCTCGCATGGCCATTATACTTCATGTACACGTTCAAAAAATGGGTAACAGTTGAATAAACTGAGCCAGTTAAACTTGGAAAAATTCTCCGATGATCAATGAAGAAATCATTTGAAAAAAAATAAGATCCGAAACCCTTCTGACAATGTTGATCCTAGATGAATTTGACTACTCTTTTTGTGTCTAATTTTTCATCAGATATCCCATCGCGTAGTCAAGTAATTATACTTATCTGGTTTTCAAATTTTTGGGTTTGAGTGATCCTGATAAAGGTTAATTCGGACGCACCAAAATTTGTAAAGTCAGTGTTATTTCATTTTAAAGGTTTAGAAATTCATCAACTAAAGCTAGAATAGTCTCTTAACTTAATGTAATGACTGATTAGATATTCAAAAATAGATTAATAACTCTGTGAAAACATTCAAATAAGTATAATCAAACATATAAAAATCAATGATAAAAAGTTTACTCCGTACATCAAACCGACATTCAATAACTTATAGCCAATATTGTTACAGTTACCAATAGATATGCCCTTTTGAAAGATTACATTTTTATGATAAAGGAATAGATTTTTTTCAGATTGACAGGTAGAATTAGAAAATTGTTTTCTTTTTTGTAGGAGACATTCAAGCCCAACGGATATCGCCATTCTTCACTTTCAGTAGTTAGTAAGAATGGAGTCTACCGGCATTGTAACGGTCTTCTTCCTTCTGGGATCTATCTTATTTGCAAATGTAAGTTGCTCATATTTTGTTTTCAGTGTGCTTTTTCCATGTATACTGATTATATATACTTCATTTTAACATTTTTTGTTTGATTTTCTGTCACGTATCCAAAATAATTGTATCTCTCGCAGCTCATACATGAAGGAATAAAATGCATATTTTAAAACAAAATATAATAAAATGATTACATAATTTATTGCAAATAAGTTGAAATTAAAAGAGTTTTACATCTTTCAGGCAAGATTTTCGAAAGATTCAGGTTGTGGTGTGACAAAGGGATGTTTTAGTGACTGCAGATCATGGGACGGTTGTACGTATCTTATAACATGGGTACAGACATCAACTGGTGTAGACTTTACGATAAAAGGGTCATTAATGTCATCGATAGATCAATATATTGCAGTTGGTTTCTCGAGTGACAAGAAAATGGTAAGTCTTACTATTTCTTCAGCTTTGTTAATTAAAAAAATTATATTGTAAGTTTTACCCAGTACTGTCTATTGAAATCTCCCTCTTCAGCTGAAATATCACAATACTATGGTCTGGTAGAATAACTTGATAGTTAGTACTGTATTTCCCCCTTATTTGCAATATACAGAAAGAAAAAAAACTTTATAGATGATAGTGTAACTGATTGGTCATAACATTATAGAGTGATGGAAGTGTAACTGATTGTTTATAAAATTACAAGGTGATGGTAGACCAGGGTAGTGTAACTGGTTGCTACATCTTGATTTTTCTGGTGTTTTTATTCAAAAGATCTAATAGTGTAACTGTGTTTTTATACCATTACAAGTTGATGGAAAAAGTATACCCGATTGTTATACCATCACCGATTGTCGGTAACTGATTGTTATACCATTACAGGTTGACTGTAACTGATTGTTTTACCATTACAGGTTGACTGTAACTGATTGTAATACCATTACAGGTTGACTGTAACTGATTGTTATACCATTACAGGTTGACTGTAACTGATTGTTATACCATTACAGGTTGACTGTAACTGATTGTTATACCATTACAGGTTGACGGTAACTGATTGTTATACCATTACAGGTTGACTGTAACTGATTGTTATACCATTACAGTTTGACTGTAATACCATTACAGGGCGGTGGTATTGAAACTGATTGTTATGCCATTACAGGGCGGGCTTTTAGTGAAACTGATTGTTATATTATTACAGGGTGATGATAGCGTAACAGAATGTGTGATGACCAATGGTAACACCTTCAGTGTCGTTAATTCGTTTAATGTGGATGATGATAAGAATGAAATGACCACAAATGTAAGTACATTATCTTGTAATTGTATGTTTTCCTCTTGTTACATATTCATGTCGCTATCAGAAAAAAGACAGAAATTATAGTCTTTTGGAACAAACTATCATGTTAACGAAGCTTGTTTTCTTCGTGCGAATTTGCCTGAACCGGTCGACTTGGTAAAGATCTACATAACTTTCTTTTCTTAGAATATTTGTGGTAAATATTTCTTGCAAGTTTATGTGTTCTGATTCTGATTTTGCGAAATCCATATTAACCCCCTCCCCCGGAAAAAAAACTATTATAATATACATTTATATAAACTCCCGTGAAACCTTCGAAGGAATGACTTCAGTTTTACCAATAGGAACCTTTGGTTCAATAGCTTCCTTGTAAGCAGCAACCCTCTTGCAATACAATCATGATAGGATGCGAACGCTCTGGAATATCGTATCAACTGGGAGGTATATACTCCATATATGCAGGCGCTGCTGGAATTTTACTACCTAGAAAAGGGAAGATCACAATTTGAAAGCTTTAATCATCCCTTTTGTCGTAAAGTTTTGTTCTCAACGGATCCTCATTTTCAATTTTTAGATGTAAGTCAAGATATGAGGCAAACCGAACTATTTCTGTTGTAACCTTTATTTCAAATTCGATGGAATAGATTTTTTATTGTTTGTGAGAGGACATCATCAATATAAGGAACGTGAAGTATAAGGATAATACCTGCTTCTTTTTATTTTTGATTTGAAGCTCCTGTATGAAGTCTGTTTCAAACGGAAATAAGGGAACAAGACGACAAGAAGAGGAGAACAGATATTTCCCATAGTTTTTCCTTTCATAACATTATTATTATCATAATTTTTTATAATCATTATTAAGTTTTATTGTTCACAGCTAAACGACAGAATGGAAATTTATAAATGTTTATCAATATATAAATCATTGAACTCCAAAGTCTTGATAGTAACCTGTGGAGAGATTTTCAATGTCAGAACGTCAAGTTTTGTGTTCTAATGGCCTGTTGATATGAAAGTGTTACATAAGAATCTACCATGTTTTTGACTTTGTTAATAACAGTGTATTTTTATGTTTTGCAGTCAGCCCTTGGTTTGTCAACAATAAGTGGAAGTTACACCAACGGTATACTGGAGTGTTCTTTCAAACGTGACAACACTACATCAGATCCTCAGATTTATAGTCTCCTAACTGATTGGTACCTCTTTTGGGCCATAGGAGACATGGAAGATTGTAAGTATTACATATTGGTTTAAATGTTATGATAAAAAAGTTAAAACCAAAAGAAAGGAAAAAAATATGTGAATAAGTTTGAGATAACAGTTGCAACTTGGTTCTTCACCTCAAGCTCATCATTGAAAGACTTATCATGAATGATTCTGAGGAATGATTCAATTCAGTTCAATTCAAAAAGTGAGAAAATCAATTGATTATCAATCATGTATCGCATTTGGGAGTTAATGAATATAGTTTCTATAGGGAAATAACATATGATAAATTTTGTTTTAAAAGAGGTCTTAATTCCTGTACGTTGATTTTGAATGAGTTAACAAATTCAAAGCACGATAAATTGTTTTTCCATTATTTTGAACATTAGGCTTAATATCTTTTTATTGTTAATCAAACGAATCTCATTATATAGCAAACTCTTTAAGAGCTGTTCAAAAATAAAATAATCTGTTTAATGATTTATTCATATTTTGTAGCCGAAAAAGAGGAACATGAAGATTGGGGTATTTCCTCAAAGGTTGTTGATCTGCAGACCTACGAGGATGTAGGGGAATTAGGAAAGCCCAAAGTAAAAGCCCATGGTAAGAGTTTAGACGTATAATTGAGATTCTTATGATCAAGATTACAATGGTTTTATCTATTCGTCTAAAGTGCCAATAGTTAAAAAAAAAATAATACCGATTACAGTAAGTTTTGATAACGACACAGAGCGGTAGGCAATAATTTCTCAATTCGCATCTTGGATGAGATGGTAAAGATGTAATATAACATTTAGCTAGACATCAATCGATATTATCTCTTCAGAATTAAGAGTTCCTTTAGGGTTCTGAGATTATTCATTAAAATCAAAATCAATTGTGTTTTTTTTTCTTTTATTAAATATCTTTTTAAACTTAGGACAAGACAAGTTTCGTATAGTTCTACAACGGTAAATTTTATTGAATTCCAGGATGCTTGACCATTATTGCCTGGGTTGGTTTCTGTAGTATTGGTGTTGTACTGGCACGATATTACAAGCCTATGTGGGTCAGTAAGAAGTTGTTTGGCGCAGCTATATGGATCCAGGTATGGTAATCAAGTTCAAATGATATGAACATTATTAGTCTGATTTATTTCCAAAAATTGTCGTCGACGTCGTCGTCGTGGTATTAGGCAGTCTATATATATATATATATATATGCAATGATTATTTCTTTTTATAGTTTCTTGAGTTCATAGATGCATATGAAATTGAATCACAATGTTTCTTAGCACAAACCAGGCTTTAAATGGATTTTTCTTGGTTTGGTATGGTCCCGCCCATTTCCGAAGAGACAATAAAGGCTAAAAACTATCTTTTCATCATATATGATTTTCTTTTTGTACCCGTGATATAAATGTATTTGTTGTTTTAAAAAACGTAATATATGGTAGGTTTTTTATGTTTCTAATGAAATAAGGGATATAATTAATTTCAACTCAATCCAAATTTTATTTTAGAATTGAATGCGGTTTTTTTTTTTTTTTTTTTAGCTCTTTACAGAGGGGAACAGTTACAGGGGTTATGTCTGGGAATGATAATTGTACGGTCACGTTTTAAATTACTCTGGTGTGAAATAAATATAGGCAAAACCGGTTGGCTTATCGATAGTTTTATCTTTATATTTGTAAATGACAGGTCCACAGAGCACTGATGATTGCTGCAGCCTTGTTTAATTTGATTGCAGTTATAGTTATATTCCATGGAGAATTTGAGGTAGGTGTTTCAAAGAAATTTAGATTTTGTTACCTTTAAAAAAGTGTTTCTTAAATCATATACATGTATTCAACATTGAAAACATAAACATTTCTGTATGTGACAAACTTTTCTGCAAATTTTCTTTCAAACTATAAGTAAAAACAAGATTTATGTTTTATTATTGAATTGAATTCAACTCAAAGTACCTAACCCGCGATATCTGGAATATAATACGAGGTAAAATATAAAAAATCGGTAATATTCACTGTTGCTCATAATGAGTTTCCAATCGACCTGTAAGTGGATCCGGAAAAAAAGGAGACACTGGTGACGGCAAATATTAATTTTGGTGAGAATTCATATAGAAGCCATTCCCGTTTCTAATGAATAGCCTGCGTTTTGTCTTTTAAAAAATCTTCATTATCGGGTACACTGTCTGTGGCTACACGTGTTCTTGAAAATATTTCCATCTAAGTTTCAACGTTAGCGAATGAAAATTGAAATGCAGACATATGAAGTGTATAAGCATACTACCGAACTTTTTGATTCTTTTTTCAAATATATAATATTTCAACCAGGTAACAGTTAATAGTGAAAAATATATTCTTATTTCTATATAAAAATAAGGAGATGTAGTATGATTGCCAATGAGACAACTATCCACCCAGGTTCAAATGAAGTGGATGTAAGCAATTATATAGCTACCGTACGGCCTTCAACTAAAAAATATGAAACAATTCAATTGAGAAAACTACAGGCTCCTGGCTTGGAACAGGCACATAAAGAATGTTGCGGAGTTAAACATGTTTGTGAGCGCTCAACCATCCCCTTTACCTGGGACAGTGGTGTTACAGCACAAGATAAGAACAAACTATAAAAATGAGTAGAAAATGGCTTAACTCATCAGATCGATTTAAAGCATAAAAAACATCTAACAAAAAAACACCGGACGTGGCTGGGTATTTATACATCACTAACAACAAAAGACACACAGTACAGATCTGAGAGTACTCGCAGTAACTGACAGCTAGTTCAAAGCCAATTACAACTAATAAAAGAAATCATGTATCTAAGACTATGTACATCTTGATTTTCTTACTAGGTTTATGGATCTAGCTTCCAGAACGCACATCCTGTTTTAGGAATGATTGTCACAGTAGTGTCAGTTCTAAACGTAAGTAAACAATTATCAAAGTACTCACTTAATAATTAATAAGATAATAAATAAATATATTCAAAATAGTTTAAAATGAATTAAGAACGAAACAGCAACATACGAATTAAACAACAAATTCGCATAGTGTCAAAATTCGGCCACACGTTCTATCTGATCATTTGTGACTTTTTCAGTGCATCGGTGGATTTCTGCGTCCAGGACCAAAACACAAATTCAGACCTATTTTCAACTGGTCACACTTGATAATGGGACTATTGTCCTACATTCTTGGAGGTAAGTAATATTTAAGTTGTCGAGATGGTTAATTAAAGTGTGTTTGTGTTCACCCTTTAAAGACTAACAGAAACACACATAAAATCAAAACTTGTCAGTAAAATTGACATACTTACATTTTCTCAGAAAAATAGAAAATAATGCAGTAAGTATGACAATGAGACAACTATCAAACAGAGTCCAAATGAAGCAGGCAGATTTAAGCAACAATAGGTTACCTTACGGCTTATCAAAACCTATAACGTACAGTCTGCTATAAAAAGCCCCACATGACCAAATGTGAAATAATCCAAACGAAAAAAAAACAAGAGCCTGATTGTTGATAAAACAATGAACGAAAAACAAATATGACAGACAACAAAGAAAGACAACCACTGCATTGCAGACTCCTGACTTGGAACAGGCGCATATAAAATGTGACGGGGTTAAACATGTTTGTGACCCTAACCTGGATAAATTGAAGTCACCAGCTTACCTAAATTTTAATTATAGTATAGTATTCAGAGGCTCATTTTGTGGTGTTTTGGTTTTAGATCAATTTCATTTGAACTGTTTTCATATATATGATAATGAGAAGTAGTAGTATATGTTTTTCTTTTTCTTTAATATGTAATGACTGAGTGATTTTTGCTTGATGCAAGGCCAGTTGCATATATTTCATGCACTTTTTAAGACTAGATCAAATTGCCAAAAATACAATAGATTGGTTTTCTAAAGGAAGATTGAATAAGATCAGATGCAAAAAATTTTGATTGCAACTGAAAAATGAGAGTATGTTTGATAGGGTCAGAAATTTTGTCTTGAACGGGCCTCCTACGGACCCCTCGTATGGTTTGTTACCAGGTTGTTTTAAGTGTAGAGTGTGTGGCATATGTGTTCCATTCAGACTGAATGCGGGTGCGTATTTATGCCTGCCGCACATCTAAACAGACGCCGCTCTTTAGCTAGGTTTTAATGCCGGACTGCAGACGTCCAATGAAGACCATATTTCAATAACCCTGTCGTATTCTTTTGGTGAAAATCTAGTGAATAACTCGAAGTATGGAATTCCCTATATATATGTATCGTTTCTCTAACTAGCCAGATCCGGTTAAAATGAACTTGAAATAAGAGGAAACAAATGAAAGTGTAAATATAAAAGACTTGTTTATAGCAGGTAAAAACAAGAGAGACGAAAAAAAAAAAAGTAAATAAACAATATGTTTATTTTAAATTGCTACGAAAAAAGAAAAGGATGGTGAGCCTCATTTTTGTTCTGTTACTGAAACTCAAACTTATTATCAGATATTCCTGCAGTATACGAAAATTGTGTTTTAATAGACGGTGTTTTAACAACAATGATATTCCGGGAAAGGGCTTCAAGTTGGTTAACTGCGAAATAATTTCAAAAGACAAACTGTTAAGTTATTTTATTACTTGATTATGAATATTTTCAAATTATGCTGACCATATAGTGTCTGGATAAATTTGAAGTAATATAAGAAAATGTTTATTTGTTTTTGCAGTTTTTACCATTGGTATCGGTCTGTCTATTGATGATGCTCATGTACCGTTCGATGTCATCTATGTCTTGGTCGCATTTGTCGTTTACCAGATTTCCTTTGAAGTTACGTTGGAGGTCATTGACCGGACAGGGAAAAGAAAACAAGCTGAAACAGGATGTAAGTATTGATCCTTTGTTAAAGACTTCTTTACATTTAGAATAGATTTTTTTTTGAGTATTTGAGCTGCTGTCTTATTTTGGATCAAATTTTTAGAGTGTATTCCAAGGTATGCTTTATTCAAATAACATAAAAACTGAAGAGCAAAATATATATATTCCGATAATTACACTAAATTTATGAGTAACATGTGCATTAAAGCAAATATTCATCATCCTCAGATTCTGGTATTGTGACAGTTTTTTCTTATTACAGCATACGATACAAAGATGAATTCTATCGGTGAAAGTAAGACAAATCTTGAAGAAAACGAAAAGAAGTATCCTACTCAAGAACCAGAAAAGAAGGAACAAGATCAATATGTAAGTAAATTAAATGGGACTCAAATCTCGAAAATTGCAGAGAAAGAACTTATAAAATAATACACTTTAAAATGAACTATAATAGATTCGTACAACTTCATTGAAAATATGGAGATAGAGGCTTATTACTTAGCGGCAAGATTTTTTTTCATCCTGCTTGATCAATTGAAAATTCATAATTGAAAAAAAACAAATGTAGTCAGATTCAAGGCTAAACATTTTTTACAGACCAATTCTTTTGTATGTATCTTTGTGACATTTCACTTTATATATTATTTTCTTTTTAGTGCGGACGACTGAAGACTTATCTCCTGTTTATTCATATTGGGATCATTACTGCCTTTACTTTGTCTATCATGATTGTGTTAGCTGCATATTGAAGAAAATCTAGTAATAATTGTACTCTATTGCTGTGATCTGATTTATATCAATGAGCTTCTACTCATGACATTACCTTTTTAAAATAATGTCTATTCACTTTATTCATCAGTAGACGTCTTGTGCACTTTATATAGATTGTTGTTTCGTTATATTTTTTCGATATTTTATAAAGATTTGTTATAAAAAGATTTTAAAGATATGTGATACTAAATTGTGTGATATTGTGAACAAAGATGGTTATTTTGGAAAAATATTTAAATTTAATTTTGCATGATCTAGATTTATACTTTCCCTTTTCCACATGTTAGACATTAAAAAATATATTTGAACTGCCTTATCTTTTTATCGCCATACTTTTAGATAAACGATTTGAAATAACAATAAGGATATAATACTACAGCAACTACAGAACGTCCGATGTTAAAACAATGCTGCTAAATATTTGTCTGTTGATACCTGACTATCTTTCTACAATGACAAAACAGCGACAAATAAATAGATGTTTAGACATACCTCAGTTTGGGAAAATGGCACATACAGAAAAGTGGCAAAAACATTGAAATCAACTTGAATAGCCACATTGGATTTTCAAAGCAAATTTTTAATCAGTTGATGAAACTGACAAATAATATGCCTTGTGATTTGAGTGTCCTAACCCCGATTGCGATATTTTGACGGAGTGTGGATTTGCATGGCGGTTTATACATGCATAGCAGGCGACGCTTACCCTGTCGACACACCAGGTCTCGTTACTTTTGGAGTCCATACGTAAACCTCGGTTTTTGTTTTTAATCCTGATTTGTATATTTGTCATGGTTTTATGAATTTGAACATTGGGGAAACTATCGTTGTCTTTAATTTAACCACTGAGTGGTTCAAAACTTCTTAGTTATAACTGAATCGCACGAAAAGTCTTGATCTTATTTTGAACGAAGAGCAAATACTAAATTCGTCATACTTTCAGAACACTTCTAGCTCGCCTGTATATTAAATATCACAGTCCCTACTAAAAAGATTGAAATAAAAGTTAAGGGATATTTGTTTGACCAGCTAATAATTACAACCAAATTATTCATGAATTCATAAAAATTTACAAAACAAAATCATCAAAGAGACCAGGAATATAAATTGTTATGCCAGATCTGCATTTAGTCTACAGCAAACATGTTAGTGACGCCGAATCACAAAAGTTTGAATGCCAAATCAACGACGATGTTGAAGAGCATTGCAAACCAAATATTTCCAAAATGTGTGCTAGATACGGCTACGTCAACCTATGCCTAGGGCGGAAAGACCTTGGTGTTTGGTATAATTATAAATGTTTAAAAAAAAATTATAAGTTCAATGATGACATATGTCAACACAAAGTGCTGACTACTTGGCTGGTGACGAAATGTCCACCAGCAATGGAATAGACTCAGTGGTTGTAAAAACTCATCAAAGATGCCATGATTATGATTCGTTATGCCAAACGCGCATTTCGTCTACTGAAGATTCATCAGTCACCCTCAAATAAAACAAATTGTAGGCTAAATCAAACACAAAGTGGAAGATTACAAATCAAATATTCCAAATACAACTAACTTCCACGTCATTTGGTCTCTGGCAATGGTGGAGAGTTGTCTCATTGGCAATCATACAACATCTTCTTTTTTATAAGACTATTTATGCCTGTGAAAGAAGAACCTGATTTGGAATAATTAAACATTTTATAAGCAGTAAATGACCATATTAACAATGATATTTTATTTTCAACACAATGTGCTTAATACTGGGTTGTGATACCATCAAGGATGGACAGTCACCAGCAGTGGCATCGACTCAGTTGTTGTAAGACTCGTTAAAGATACCAGTCTTGTGATTTGTTACGCCAGACACACGTTTCGTCTAAATAAGACTTATAAGTGAAGCTTGAATAAAAAAAAGTTGAAAGGTTAAATCATATACGAAGTTGAAGAGCATTGCAAACCAAATTTCTTAAAATTTGTTTCAAAAATAGCTATGGCTATCTAAGCCTGGGACAGAAAAAAAAACTTACTATTTCGAATAATTCAAAATAATATAAACAAAAACAACCATATCAACGATAATATATGTCAACACAATATACTGACTTCTTAGCTGGTGATATCCTCAGGGATGAAAGGTCCACCAACAGTGACGTCGACCCAGTGTTTGTAAATGATGAGACTGATCAGTGACACTCGAATACATAGAGCATTACGGTCAAATAAAACACAAAATTAAAGAGGATTGCAAACCGAAAAATCCACAAATTTGTGCTACATACGGTTAATGCCATATATATTCCTGGGGGAAACCCTTCTTGTTTCAAATAATTAAAATTTTATAAACAGAAAAAGACCGTATCAATGATATGTTGTCGACATAAAGTGCTGAATACTGGGATAGTTATACCCTCTAGGACGACACGTCAACCAGCAGTGGCTTCGAATCAGTGGTTGTACAAAAGTGATTGAATCATCAACGATAGAAGTCGTATAATTTGTTACACCAGAAATGCGTTTCGTCTACATAAGACTCATCAGTGACGCTCGTATAAAAAAAGATAGAAGATCAAAAGAAACACGAAGTTGAACAGCTTTGGAAACCACAAATTCATGATAAGTGTGTCTAATATTTACCATCTACGCACGCAAGAAGAAAACCCTTAGTGTTTTGAATCATTCAAAATGTTATGAACTCAAAATGACAATGTCAATGATATGTCATAACAACACAATGTACTGAATACTTGGCTGGTGATACCCTCGGGGACGAAATGTCCACAAGCAGTGGCATCTATCTAGTGTAAAAATTCATCAAAGATACCAGGCTTATAATTTGTTGCGCTAGATGAGACTGATCAGTGACGTTAAAATCTAAAAATTTGGAAGGCCAAATAAAACACAATTGTGAAGTGCATTCCAAACCAAAAATGTCCAATGCATGGGATAGAAAAGCCGGAGTGTTGAGAATAATTTAAAAAAAATTTATAAATAGAAAATAACCATATCTTTTGTCATACAAAGTGCTGACTATTTGGCTAGGAATATTTCAGTAGTTGAAGGTAACTCAGTAAGTGAAAATTAAACCCCTTTATTAATAAAGGCGACAGTAGTTGGCTGATGTTTTAAAAAAAGCATTTACCTATTATGTACCTCACGTTCTAATTGTATTCAATCAATTATAATAACAGTTTAGTCTGAAGATGCAACTATACCCTTAAAAATGTCTATGAACTATTCTCTAAAATCACACTCCTTCTTACTATGAAAAAAAAAGAAAATATAAAATGTCGCCTCATATTTGCAACACAGCTTACAAATTGTAAAAGCGCAACTAGTTTTATAAAATTTTGCTTTATCCTGCTGTTTAATGTATTCACACCACAGGAGTTTACATCAAACCAAGACATAATCAAATCAAAGAGCTCCGTACCACAACTTTTTTCAGACAATAAGATATTTTCCTGGTATGGCACTGTCCCCGATTAGGAACTTGTCTTCGCCCTGATCAATCAGTTATATGCAAAGGGATAGATCTTGATCTTCTAACTACAGCAATTCCTTCGATCACAAACCATTTCACAGTTACCCTTGAGTAACGACCAGCTCCAATACGGAAATATCGCCCTCAACGGAACCAAAATTTTTGGTAGTATTTTCAAAAAAGCAAAATATACGCTTATGCGATACGGTTTCGACTGGAATTCGTCCAATAAATAAGTGGACAGCAGCAATTATCATTCTATCAGATGAAATTTTAGCTTTAAGAATTATGTAAAATATATATAGAAAACATATTAAAATGAGATACTGTAATTCAAATGGAATCAAGTTATACCAAAGTCTAGGTAGAACAAACAATTTTATCGGATGAATAGAAACGTAAACATTAACTTAAGTACATTCAGTATATGGGATCCTGCTCTAATGAGGACGTTAACAGTTGTATCGTGTTAGGCAAAAATTCATTCAAATTGATATCATGTTCTATTCCTAAATTGTACTATCAGTCACCGAGGGAATCATCAGCTCAGTAGTCAGTACTTCGGTACGAATTGGTTGACCGTTATGGAATAACCGTTTCACAGATGATATCGGATATGTTCCTTATGTCGTAACTACAATACCCTTCCCTTTTCACGAATGTTACTTACCGAATTAGACTATTTACCGGATTTGTAATAACATAAGCAACACGACGGGTGCCACATGTGGAGCAGGATCTGCTTACCCTTCCGGAGCACCTGAGATCAACCCAAGTTTTTGGTGGGGTTCGTGTTGCTTAGTCTTTAGTTTTCTATGTTGTGCCATCTGTTCTATTATTTGTCTGTTTGTCTTTTTATTTTTGGCCATGGCGTTGTCAGTGTGTTTTCGATCTATGATTTTGACTGTCCCTCTGGTATCTTTCGTGCCTCTTTTATAACAAACCTTTCTTAATTTGTCCCTTTACAAACTTATAAATTATAAAGAAACTAAGGTTTAAACTTCCTCGGGCAAGTTGACCTTAAATGGATTTGCTCTTCAACTGTTTCGGTTCTTATACATCCTTGGCTTTCAAATATTCGGCTTTGAGCACTTCGGAAGCATGCAATTTATAAAGTTTTTTTTCCATAATTTTTGTAAACATTTCACTGACTTATGAAATATCTGTATGGTCCTTTAATTTGTATTTCCACATTTTATTTTATATTATATCTGATTAATTGTTTGTATAATCGGATAAGATATTCGACAATGCTTTCATTTCAAGTGGGCTATAAGAAGCTTTAGATATATCAATGACTGTAGATTAGAGGAAACAGTAGTTTAATGATGTTCAAAAATCGCAGAATGGATCAAAAATGGCATATTCAGTCGATTATGTCCAAATGAATTTAGCAACGTCATGCTAAGCATCATAAACACATATCTGAGGATGAGACTTCACCGGTCAAACGCCTTGGAATTCATTAACTGTCATCTTACTTTTGAAATCAACTTTGTCTACCATTCTTGACGAGAAGAGCCAGTATTTTACCGCATAAGACCAGAATGCTTAAAGCTTTTGGAACATAATTGAGTGTTTAAATTAAAGGAATTTTCATATTCATCTCTGTTTTACTTCTGTATAAATTAACACAGCTTTTGATGGACATTTCCCGTTTGCTGATCCTTTTAAATAGACTTTTCTTATCTACAATGACCATTACCTGAAATCTTACAAACTGAAACAGAACCACTATTTAAACGACATTGTACACTTGTTTTTTCTCAACCTAAGATCATATTTCAGAGATATTTCAGGAGCAGAGGGTATGTTACTGCTGATTAAGTGGAGGTTA